AGAGAGGGAGGGGGGAGGGGGGAGAGAAAGGGAGGGGGAGAGTTTTTTTATGTAACTAATCAATTTGTTGAAAAAATAAATCAGGCAACTAATCGATGATGAAAATATTCGTCAGGCAACTAATCGATGATGAAAATATTCGTCGGCTGCAGCCCTACTTGATAGACTACAGCAAACCAAACAAGACTTATGAGCCTACACTGCAAATTGAGTACAACATTTTTAGCGGGACGTGAGGACGTGGCTTACTGAACATACTTTGGGTAGTCTTGTATACTGTATCATTAATATAGCAGTAAACAGAGATATAGTTGGAGGGCGGGGCTTACATGAGAGGAAGTACCAGATTTGATTGACCTCTGGTGTGTATTTCCTTCATAATATATAATAAAATAGCCCCCATGCAAGGCACACTTTCTAGTTTTCATGCATAAAAAAGCTTAAGTTTGCTTTAATGTTGTCCTACAAGCTTTTTGCGTTTTGGGTCTATTGATAGAGGCTTGAAACTTTATTGTCTCCATCCACAGGTTATAAACAGAAAGGGCCTTTTATAGCTTTTGGTGACTCTTGCAGCAAACACTGCCTTAGGTTTCCCAATCCTTGTCCACACACCAAGATGTCTCTGCTTTATTCTGACATGACTACTCCAACAAAGATCCACCTTAAAATGGCTGGAGCAGGTAAAAGGAGCTCTGTCATGGGAGCCAGGGAACGATCTATACTTCTACCCAAAACTGAGTGAACTGTGCTTTTCCACCATACAGACTGGCAGTAGATGGGATACCTGTTTTCTCCTGTGATTCTTCAGAGTGGTGTGCCACTCTCAGTACGGTGATAATTCTGCTGATCACATTATTGATGATCTCAGCTCCCAGAAGCAGCGCCATGTCACATACCAGCAGGGCCTCCTCCTCCGGCCTCTGCGTCAGCTCTGCACAGCCACATATGCCCACTACCTTAAACAGGCAGCCATAAGAGTAGGCAGTCCTCCAGTCCCGAGAAACATCCCTCCAGTTACATCCATTCAGTTTCTCCCAGCTGAAGTCCATAATAAGTTCCCCCAGTTGCCTGCACTGTGCCAGGTCACCATTATAAATACATGTAGCGGCCTCCTTCACACAGTGGGCTATAGGTGCATCCACCTCTGGGCACACATCTGCTGGGAATTCTTCCAGGCAATTGGGAAGCACTGCCCTTACCCGAGACCACAGTAGGCTCTGCATCACCTAGTGCTGGGATCTCTCCGCACTACATCACTGCATGCAACAGGAAGGGGCAGATGTTGCTACATTCACCCACGTAGAAACTGTGACCTTCCATAGCAGCGGACCTATGGAGTAAAAACAGGGACAATATTAAAGAAGATTCCCAGTAAGAAAAGCAGTATATTGCTTTAAGGTGAACAGCATTTTAAATGACTGAATCCAAATTCTACTTGCAATAAGGAAGCAGCTGATCAGCAGCCCAGTGCACGACACCTTCGAGAACATCTGCTTAGCCTAAAGGTGCCCATACACTGGCCGAATTTTGGCTGGTTTTTAATGTATCGGCCGAAATTCACACGGTGTGGGGGCTGTCGGCTCCCTTTCAGCGGACATTCCTCGATCAGCTAACCGAAGGAGCCGGCTGGAAAATCTTTGTAGGATCAGAGCTGGCAGCCAATGAGCTGCCGGGTTGAACGAAAAAAATTGATAGGTGTATGGCCAGCCTTAAATCATAAAGATTCCTGCAAAGCCTTGCTTCCTATGAAAGAAAACCTTGCTGTATTTATAAAGAAAACCTTGCTGTATTTTTCTTGAAGATGTTCCGCTAGTCATCCGAGTAGCATTTTCATTCTAAATTGAGAAAGCTAGTCGGGTGACCAGCAAAAACGTCTTCAAGAAAAATACAGCGAGTCCAGTTGCCTTGATTTATTTTTTACAGATATACCATGACCTGGATGAATAAGAACCTTCACAGACTTTTGTAAAAAAAAACAAAACACTGTGCTTTATAAATTAGCATTTTTGTAAACCAGCAGTATGCCCAATGTATTATAAATGCACCCTTCAAAGTATTGTGGTGGATGGGTTCTCTCCATAATGCATACTTGCAGATTATGGCACACCTGCCTCCCGTACTGCGGTGCGACGTCCCTGATCTCCCTCGTTGCTTCCTCACCGCTGTGTACATCTGCGCCCAGTCTTCTTATGGGTTGAGCGTCTTCAGCCAAGAACAGAAAACAGGAGCGTGCCAGACCAAAATGGATGAATATAAAAAAATGTTTAATAATGGTGTTGCTCAAACCGCCCGCGCATTTCGGGGGCAGACGCTACAATCAATGCCTGCTGCAATCTACACATTTCGGGATAACTACCCACAGCTGCAATAAAATCTAAATTCTGGATTTGATTTGCTCAGAGTCCATTCCTTCATTCTCATTATTTCCAAGCCCTGAGGGAGGGGGCCCTGAAATGCGTTAGCTGTTTGATCAACACAATTACAGTATTAAACTTTTTTGTATG